CGATGAATTATTCCTCTGCAGGAAACCTGAGTGAAGATTTAAAAAATTAAGTGCAAAATCTTAAAAAAAAGAAAGTAATCTCAAATAGATTTTTTTTAAAGTATTCAAATGAAAACCATCTTGATAAGCAGCGTGCTGGTACAAATACTGCCTAACTTCTGTGCCATTATGGACTGCTGAAAAGCAAACTTCTGCCTTGCAAAAGACAGATAATTTAGACCATGCTACAGCATTCACATTTTGGAACGTTTGGCTTCTCCAGTGTGAATGTGAATAATAAACAGCAGCTGCAGAAGCAATGAGGACAGTAGTTGCACTGGTGGATTACTGGCCATGAGGAGGCACATTGAGTTCTCCACCTCTTTTAGTACAGCCCTTTGAACCAATGGAAGAATGCAAAGATTCCTCTGGGGCCTGACTATGAATATGATCTGACTATTTTCAAATACTGTTTTCAAACACTTGTTTCAAAACCTCTTAGCTTCAAAATTTACATGGGGCACTGCTGGACCTCAGATCCAGCCCTCTCATTCTCAGCATTCTGATTAGCAGAATGTCCTGTACCAAAATGCAGAGTTCAGAAAGTACTAATGTTTTAAGTTTTACACACACTCATAGTTTACTTAAGAGTAATGTCAGCACTACTCCTTCTAAACATTTAAATATTTTGCTTCTGATAATAAAAGGCTTCTTCACACAATTTTCTTTATTGGGTAGCTATAGATTGGTAGACAGAGAAGAATCCTACAAAAACATCAAGGCCTAAAATTAAATACATGTATGAGGAAATGGGAAGCTGGAAAAACAACATGAAAAAACAAAGTTTATTGAATACATGCAAAGAAAAGATCATCCTATGTGTGTGGCATATATTTGTGCTAAGTCTCACATTTTTTTCTGTGATATATATTTTTTACAAGGTTCTAAGCTTTTTTTATGAGGTGAATAAAACACACAAGAGCGAAGTCTCCAGCAGCTAAAGGGCAGTAGTAGATGTCTCTGCTATGCATTTGCTTCTAATAGAATTCCCATTTACTTTCCTTGAACAAATCAAGACTGTTGTTGGAAAAGGTTCTTTAGAGACCAATGACCCAAATTAGCCTTTCCCAAAGGAAGGAAAGAAGCATTAAATGTTTGGAAATTTGCCCCCAAATATAAATGCACAAAATGCACCGTTGAGCAAATGAGGTGCACAGTAGTTCCTGATGAAATCCTGCATGACTTTGAGCTCTAGCTGAGAGACTTCAAAGAACCTCCTGCAAAAGCATGTTCAAAATTCCACAATGCCCTGCACTTTCCCATACAAATTTGACCAATTTATCTTGGAGGTGCAATGCTCTCCCTCACTGGGATTCAGCTAAACGGTTTGATGTCTAATTGTCCATTTTAAAATCAAATGTTCCTCCACCATTAGTGAGAGGTCTACTGCTCACTTAGCTGTCTTTTCATATCATTTGTCATCTCTAATTTGAATCACGTTCAATTACATCCTCCAATCCATGTCTTCTTTTTCTGTTCATTTTTTGGGTGTTTTTACATTCTCCCCTTTTATCAAGAGCAACTTTTAGTTATGCACAGTGATTACATTCTTCTAAGGATGTGGAAAGTGCAACAGGCTTTGGTTACTTCTTGAAGGACCTGGAAACCTGTCAGTGGTGAGGGAAGAATGCTGGCTTCCAATGTGTGCGAGAAAGGACTAAAATGAAGCACATGACAAAAATTAGCAAAAGAAAAAAGGAAGCTTGAACACATGGAAAGAATTTTGGTGGAACAAATAAGATCTGCTGGACCCTTCTCATATGATTCAACAATTCTGTTGTTGCACTGCAAGATGCAGTAATGGAAAACAGAACAACATTTAGAGGGTGGGAGGTAAACTGAAAACAAAACAGTATGCTACCTTATAGTGCAGAAGATGTAAGGGTTACATGTTTATGGTGCATTAAAATGCATCACTCAGTTGTTGAGTGAAAATACTGCTAAAATCCTTTCACTCATTTTGATTTTTTACATTCAGTGTATTAGCAAAAGTTCTGCATTCCACAAAATAATCCAAGATCTTCTCAGAAGAAGGGACTACTGCCCCTCTTCGTGCAATAATCTTCAGATTTACGGAGTCTGAGCAGCAGTTTATCTCTGAAAATATTTATGCCAGGTTCAGAAGCATGTTGCTTTACAACTCTGCTAACTCATAAAGAGAGCATGTCACCACATTTCCTGACGTGAGTCTTGGTTATGAATGCCGCTTCTAATTTTCTATACTAGTTTCATTAGCTTTCACCACCCATTTTTACACTTGCACCGCTTTTCAGTAAATGTATCTGTAATGTTGACATTCCTCACCACTGTGTTAGGAATTCCTTAATATTTATGGTTCTCAGTGAAAAGGTTTGCCTCAGCCCACCAGAGATACTAAACTGCGATCAGTTTTTACTTTAAAAACATAGATTTGTAGTCATGATAGATATGAGGAAGGATTCAAAGACTCATTAGTGACTAAAGAAAAAGGCACTCAGGCAGTGGGGAAAGCTAGCTGTTACTTTTAATAGGAGTCTAAGCGAATTCAGTTCCCAAAGGGATAAAACACCAAATATTTAATCACTTTCAAGTGAAAGAGATCAGAAGGCAAGTAAGAAGAATTCACTTTTAATATAGTGGAGTTTCATGTATACATGCATAGATATTTTATTTCTTAGTATTCAAGCCATTATTACTGGAGTTGCACGCTTTTGTTTCAGGAAGTATTCAACAATGGAGCATACCAGAGCTGGGCCTTACTAAGTATTGGTTTGCATTTACCGTGCTGTATTTGCACCTAAATTTCATGCACAAGAAGAAAAAAGTGATCTTAACCTCAGATTTCTAGCAAACACTGAGCAAAACAGTTAATCAGAGAGGCATATCTGAAACCACAATCCCTGCCTGAGGCTATGTACTTAATGTCTCTATAGGACTGGAGGGCTAGAATGAAGTTCTAATATTCAGAATACTGCAAGAACTATAGCCATAGGCAGTTATTCCATAACAAACAAACAAACAAACAAATAAAAACAAATAAAAACTAAGACAAAATAGATATGATAATTCCTATTCTTAGCAAAAAACCTCAAACACCCTCTTACCTGCTTTCAAATTCTATCCATTTTGCAGTGTTCAGCTTCAGAACAAAGAAAATGGTTACACAAAACAAACAAAAAAATCCCACCAAAACCTAAAGATGAACCAGTAGAACCATCATAACTTTCTGCATTTAGTGTAGAAGCACGGCCTCAGCACACTGAGTTGTACATGAAACACAGAGATCCAGAGAAGCTTCTCCTTCTCTTTAGTACATCAAGTCTTTAAGAACCTCAGAGTGCTTTGAGTGTTTCAAATGCCCATGCACCTTGATGGAACCTCCAGAGCACTTTCTGGAATGGAAGTTCTTGAGTCCATTTAAGACCACAACATACAATGTCTGCTTAAGGCTGCTCTGATGCCCATTAAAGCCTCCAAAAGGATTTCCCATTGGCTTTACAAGAAGCTGTATGGTTCTATAGGAAAAGTCTCAGTGTACCAAATAAAACGTTTTGCTATGATTATATTTGGTTTATTGGATAGATAAACACTAGACATGGTGGGTGAGAGATGAAGTCTGAATTTCCACCACAGCCACCCAAAATTAACTGTAGGAGGTTTTCTTTTATTCTCCCTCTCCTTGACCAGTACCACTACCACCTGTAGGAGGACAAACCTTAAAATCACACAGACACAGTTATATAAACCAACATTCCAGTGAACAGTTGCTTTGGAAACGCCTAAGCTATGAGCTGTCCTGCAATCCAGAAACTGTGGATTCCAGACATGAGCTAAATCACAAACCACTGCCCAAGGCATCCTTTCAAACATTTCTTGTGTCGTTGTTTCAGAAACAAAGCTTGTAGTATTTTAATCTCATGACCACAAGAACTTCTCTATTGTAACATGTAAATTGATACAGAAAGTAAGGAAAGCACTTCAGCTTCCACCTCACTTCAGCCCATTGACAAATTTACAGTCTATCAGGAACTTTGGGAAAAGAGGGCGACAGTGGAACAGCTATTAGCTTATCTACAGCAGTAATGATAAATATCGAGGTGATAGAAGAGATTCCCTAGCAATACTATCTGCCCTTCTTAGTCAGGGAGACTCAGGGAACAGGATATGCCCAGACAGGAGGAGGCTTAAGTTCTTTGTCCTGCTCGGTCTCATGTTTGATCATGTACTCCTACTCTATAGCCAGAACTAACTCTCTTCCTTTCTGTAGCCATTCTTCTGTGAAACAAAGAGTGTTAAACGCTCTGGGCTTTGAGAAAGCTGAGCATAAGAATCTGCACAGACTGGAAAGGAGGGCACTCAGTCCTGTCTCCACTTTCTAAACGTTTTAATCTAATCTTAAAACTCAAGAGGTCACAACTGTCCACACTTTATTTCATTTTTTAATATATACATATATATAAATATATATATATATATATTTTTTTTTTGGCAAGCAGGAACCTCCCTGATTGCTTTCAACATTTTTTCCTGCCTCACAGCATATATAGTTCTAGAGAAACACACATTCCAATGGGATATCATAGGTTAACAAAAGATGTAAGAGAAAAGCTGCTACAAAAAGCATCATTTAGCTTTTCATCAATGTCCTCAAATCCACCCTTCATTCTCCTGTAATTCACTAAACTCTAATGTCTTTGCAGGTTGCTTTTTTACCTGTTTTTGTTTGTTTGTTTGAGCTTTTATTTTTCTGACATGCTTAACAACTGACTTCTGAGAAGCAAGGAAAGAATGACATTCTGCACAGTCATTTGAAATCTAACATCATGGCATACACAGGTGAAATTATCACAGGTGAAATATTACCTGTAATATTTCTGGTAATCCCTACTTTGATTCAGGAAAATCCAGAACCTTCAGGGGTAAAGGCATCAGGAAAAAAAGGGGAGCAGCAGAATTGAAGAAATTCACCTAAGAACACTTACTTTGTCTGTTGTAGAGTGTCTTACAGCGAACTCTTCTGAAGCAGTAAAATACAAATAGAATTTTCTCACATTTATCTCCATGGCAGAATGCAGATGTCTGCAAGAGTAAAAACATTCAAGTAATTCAGCCCACAGAGATTCCAGGAAAGTGAAAGGAGTTTGACTGATTCGGGATAACACAAACTAACAACTTTCCAAAGTTTTAGGATTCAGAGAGAATTCCAAATGTTGTTTGATCAGCTAAAACAACTTAGGCATTAAGTTTCTCCAACTTTGTTGCCAGAACTTTAGCAAAGAACTTCATGTGAATTTTAAGCAAAGATACAGCTCTAAATTGAAGACATTATGAGTCCCCCTCCTTGGCTTTCTGAGTAAGAAGATACCAGCCCTGGAGAATAAGGCAACAAGGCATCTTTCAACCTTCTTGAAATCTGGAAGCCAGAAGAATGCTAAAGATTAAAAATAGATTCAAGATTCAATTTAAATAAATAAATAAATAAACCCCAAGCTGAAACAGAGGCTTTACTTGTTTTCATATTAAAGTTAGTTTTTTAAAGTTAGTCACTTTGCTGTTTACAGGTTACAGAGCAGCTTGCTTAAATTTTTTTTTCTATAGAATAACACTTTCAATGCATGCTTTACAGTTTATGTGCTTACACATTGAAATGTGTTTCAAAGGATTCTTACGACATTTTGTCACGCTTATTGTAATATTTGTGCCTACGCATGAAAATCCCACGTGTTCAGAAGAGACAGACACTCTTGTTTCACCCTGTTAACCAGATCAGTTAAGTCATCATCAGTTAATCAAAGGACTGAACACCACACAGTCCAACCGAAGCTACACAAGCTGACATTTCTAATAATTTTGCATGGGGCAGTGAGAAGAGCCCTGTATAAGTAAGTCCTTGTAAAAATGCATCATAAATTAAGAAAGTGGATGTTAGTGAGGAAAATCTTACTGAGAAATTTTTTGCTAACTATGCACATAGTCTCTCTGGGATGGATGTGGCTGACCAGCAAGCTCAGTCCAGTCTCTGACAATTGACCCTGGTAGGAACCCGCAGCTATTCAATTCTTCCTCTAAAAAATGACAAAAATGCTCTAAGGCTAGAGACTGGAAAAATAAAACCATGGAGGTTTCTACAGAGAAATGTGTTTGGAGGATATCCTTTGATATGCTTTGTTTATTGTTGTAAGTATCTGTAAATCTCAGCCTACTCTCACTGCTGCTCTGATCTGAGTTCCACATCTGGCTGTTGGTGTTACTGTCAGCTTGGTGGGAGATTTCTCCAGAGATCTCTGCATGATAAATACCTGTTTTCTGCAGCATGGTGCTCAGGCCTGGAATTTCTTTCTTTTTAACCTTGTACTAAAGGTTCATAAGTGACTCATTAACGGTACTCAAGGTTTCCAGTCAGGCCCAAAGTATCCCAGAGCGCAGAACTTTCAGAAAAATGAGCGTTTTGGTCTTTGTTGACCACTTTGACCAAAGCCTTATTTGTTTGCTCATGTCCAATAAAACAACACATTTTAGTGGTCAACCTTACTGCTGCCTCCCCCACAGGTCCAGTGGAAATGTGTGAAGCATGAAGGTAGTTGGACTGCCTGAAGATTAGCAAGTCTATCATGCCTTATCTTGATGGTAACCATGGAAGTAACAGAGAGTAGAGCTATTAAGAGGTGACCTGCTCTGTAGCACCAAGAAGCCATTTTACATCTCTGCTGCGCTGCTGGAGACAAAACAAGGGAAAACCAAAAGTTTTCCTGGCTGAGCACGTATCAGAATCTGCATGCTCTTATGAAAGTCTAAGGATATTTCACTTCCACAGCTACTTCACTGAACTTAGGCATCTCCTCTAACTACTTATTCATACAATCACAACACTTCAGACTTCAGCTGGTTGTCCTACCCTGAAAACCAAGACTCATTCAAAACAGTACAAGGAACCTTCATCCTCGAAACATTGTTTGGGATTTAAATCTGAGTCCTCAGTTGAGAAACTCAAAACCTTAAGAAACTTTTAATGAAGCATGCAAAGGTGGATGTTACCTTTAAATTTCAGATTGCTCAAGATTTGCTGAGCTCTCTGCAGCGTTCCATGAAGGCTGGTTTCCTACTACTCACATCCAGGTCTGTGTGCTGTGAGTACAGTATCACTCATGGAAACTCCCAGCATGCTGAAAACAAAGATGCTGAGTTCTAAGGAGATCATTGTTGGTTTTGAAATGTGGGCTATTACATTCATGTTTAACACGTGGATTTGGAAAATGGAATTAGAACAAAAACGTATTTTTTATGACATTTTGATTTTTTATGAGCTTCATTCAGTTTTGCAACTCCCTGCAAACCACACAATCTGTAATCTTATTTTCTGAGGAATTCTTTATGCAAAATTTGGCCAGATGATCACTGAGACAAAATACTTCATGCACTGTATATGTACAAGTGAGCCATAAATAGCCTCTTTCTTGTGAAGGAGGGTTGTTCCAATATTTGAAGTAAAACAATAAAGGTGATAGAGGGAGATGCCAGCACCAATGCCAGAATGCAGTATGTCCTAGAAAGTCTTAAATTCCATTTCATCAAGACCGAAGTTGAAAGCAGTATTTAGAACCACCAGTACCTATAATTATATGTATATAATTATAACACTGAGTCGACTTGATTAGGCAGGATCTTAATTTTAGAATTCTGAAACATTTATGAAACAATGCTCATCCCCAGTAAACTGTTCAACTATTTGACGTTTATGTACTTTGGGAGATTGGGAAAAACAAGCTTTAGAGAAGCTGCTATATGGAAAGAAAGAATCACCAATCCTCCTGTGTCTGAATCATTAGAGAGCAAGGTCCACCAGAACCAAATGAATTTTCCAAGCCTGCACAAAGCAGTACATTTATCCACCTCTGACACTTGTACCTGAGAACAATCCTGTATTTCTACATTCTACTCCTGGTCAACTCCATTTTTAAACTCTTAAAACTAGGAGGAATACAAACAGCACTTCTACAGCCATATGGAGAGTTCAGACCTTAAGAGTCTTTGTTTTTCTATGCTTAAAGCAAAAGATAGTTTTTTCCTTATTGCTTGTAAAGGGAACACATTTCTTCCCTTCTCCTGTTCATTGAAATATCAGTACTCCATTGCTCTAAGGAGCATCTCTTCCCAGTTCCTGTTCCTTGGTCATATATATTATATAAATATTACTTTCTTTCCAGACTGTCTCTTAGAGTCACCTTCTAGAACAAAGTCCAGGTATGTCTCTGGCTACAGTTCACTTCACAGAATATTCTCAAGAAACACAGTCAATGAGATTCAACCACCCTTGTTCCTATCTTCCCTATGTGGGACTCCAGTAACCCAGAAAGATGTCTATGCTTGGACACACATGTACTATTTCTTGTCATGTTTTAAAAATGTCTCTCTTAGGCTGCAGCACAGCTTCTGCATGTATTTTTAAGAGATTTTGAGCTATAAAAATTCTAACAAGTTTTGGGCCACAGAGGTAACAATGTGAAGCTCAGGACCACATGCTGTGTGATGTAAAGGAGACCAGAGCGATGTGCTCCAGAGATCAGGCCTAAGGAAGTTACCCCCAAGATATATTTATACAGATACAAAGATATGGTATATATTTGACATATCAAGTATCTCAAATATTTAATAATATTTAATATTGTTCTACAGGATCCATATAATCTCTGTTATCCTTTGGAAATTCTGGCAAATGTGGTTGGACCTTGTTAAGACAGCCTAATTTTCAGATTTGACACTGCTGTGCTGAGGGACACTCCAGTGTCTAGTAGTCTTGAAATCACTCATTAATTAAAGACAACATGAGGTAAAGTGCAAATAATGGTATTATCCACAACTGATGATACACTTGTGAAAGTTAAAGTGAAGAAATAGAGGAATTCCACTTAATCAGATGACAACTAGATTAAATCAAGAGTTTTCTGCTCCTACCTGCTACTGTAGGTGATAAGAGAACAAAGTCAGACACATAAACACACATACACACCATATAAGCTGTCTGATCCTTTTATCATATCAGATGAGTTTCCCAATAATCAGAGAATCAGAGAATTGTAAGGGTTGAAAAGGACTTCTGAGATCATCCAGTCCAACCTTTAAGTCTGTTTTGCTTGAAGCTAACAATGAGAGCATTTTAGGAGCACAGAAGTTTCACCATGTAACTTGACCTTTACATGAGGAGGCCAAGATCAGGTCTGAGTATTGCCTCTACCCTCTTAGAATTAAATGTGTTCCTGAATCCCCCAGGAAGCTCCTTGTTTGCAGGAAGAAGACTTGAAGGCCTTTTGCTCAGTTTTTTCCCACTCCAGGACAGAGAAAGCACATAATGAATCAGAACTCTCCTCCTCATGCTTAGTGAGACAACCAAGTGAGATGCTGCTGCTCTTAAGGATCTCAATTCACTATCACAGTCTAATACTTATATGATAAATAAAACAGTCCAACTTCTTTTGATTTTTCAAGGCAGTTACTGCGCACTGAGGAACAGATTATAGAATTAAGAGACATGAAGCATGAGTTACAACCTGTTAGTTTTTGCCACAGTCTGACCGCTTGTATTAGATACAAGTGATTTTTGTACGCAGAATATCAGGCTAAATACAACTCTTATTGTGAAAGAAAAATGCAATTGGTAAAGGGAATTCCATGTAGTCCCATTCCACGGTTCCCTCAATTGAAAGATTTCTTTTCCTTTATGATTAAGAAATTTTGAATAAGTAACATTTTATGCTCTCAAGAAGTATCAAAAGTTAGTTCATGATAGATGAAAAGAAAATTGAGCGTTTCATTTTCAATTATTTGCCCATTAAAAAAGCAGAACATATTTCTACCAAATGACAACTTCAGTTTGAGATTGGTAAGCCTCTTTTCCCCCTCTCACAAATAGTTGTTGAAATAAAATGACTTCTGCCTAGTCTAATAGCACTGTTGAAAAAAAAATAATAAAAATCCTTTACTCTTGTCAGCATCCTGTCTACAAACAAGTTAGATGCTATCAGCAGCTCTGATAAACACCTTCCATCTAGGTTCTATCCTCTTTTTCAATGGTACTGAAAAGATTTTTTAAAAAGCACAACACCAAAGGGCCAAAGCTATTGGAAGTGCATTTCTTCCGCAGAAGAAACATTCATTCATTTCATACATGGATCAAGAAATGGTTGGAAGGGAATACAACTCCTTTGGAATTTCCAGATGCAAAAAAGAAAAAGAAAAGAAAAAAAGATAAATCAAGCTTAGGACTTGTATTAAACAAAACAAAACAAAACAAAACAAAAACAACCACAAAACTGCAAAACGTGTGTGACAAGAAACACTTAACAGTGGCAAGACTATTTGTCAAGAAAAGTGGTAAAGCATCTTCATTTAACATCATTTAAATACAAAGTGATAGATTTAACTGACTTGCCTTCGTGGTTCTGTAACATCCCATCCAAAATCAGACTGACTGCTGCAGAGGAATAATACCAAGCAGAAATCACCATGCTCATATTGGCACCAAAGC